TCCGTTTGTGTACTCCATTTTAACGCTCCGTTTTGACGTTATAACACTATATTCATGTGATATGGTTACAATAATTATTATTATAACCATATCACATGAATATAGTGTTATAATAATAATTATTGTAACCATATCACATGAATATAGTGTTATAACGTCAAAACGGAGCGTTAAAATGGAGTACACAAACGGAGAATATTGTGATATGTTGCTCGTTTTTGGCCAATGCAACAATCAAGCTGTCATTGCTGCTAGAAGGTATGCTGAAATTTATCCGCATAGACGTCATCCAGATGCAAACGTTATTAGAAGAGCAGAGAATAGATTACGCGAAACAGGCAGTGTAGTGATCCATCATCAAGATGCTGGACGTAGACGAAATATACAAATGATTCATGTGGAAGAAGAAATCTTACAAAAATTCGAAGAAGAACCAAGAAGAAGCATTCGTTCGATATCGAGTGAAATGAATGTGTCACGTTCGACGGTTCATCGCGTTTTAAGAAATGAACACATGCACCCATATCATTTTTCATTAACACAACATCTTCATGAAGGTGACGCTGAACGTCGTCTCGAATTTTGTCAGTGGTTAATATATCACCACAACAGAGACAATACGTTCTGTGGTCGTATTTTATTTTCCGATGAATCATTATTTACTCGAGAGGGATTGTTTAATGCACATAATATGCATTACTGGGCAGAAGAAAATCCCTTTGTAATTAGAGAACGAAGATTCCAAGTTCGATGGAAGTTGAATATCTGGGCCGGAATTATGGGAGATGAAATAATTGGACCATGTATTCTTCCAAATAACATGAGAGGTGACAACTATGCCGATTTCTTACAAAACGAATTACCAGATCTTTTGGAGGATTTGCCAATGAATATACGGGAAATAATGTGGTTTCAACATGACGGAGCACCTCCTCACAATAGTAGGCGCGTTAGAAATTATTTAGATATACAATTTCCAAATTCTTGGATTGGTAGGGGTGGACCTGTCGCCTGGCCAGCAAGATCC